AGTTATCTCTTATAGTCCTGACCACATTCTTGGATATGCCTTGGATACAAGCTCCTCACTTAGCACATGTGAGTCTATTCTGTGCAACTAGACAAACCTAATGAACACAGAAATTGCAGAAGGTTACAGAAAACAGCAAGAATGTGGAGATTTTGCAATTGGTTAAGATATCACGGCTGATAATCATTGAGAATGTTTTCCAAAATTAAGCTCTTAAATGTGTTTTCTTGGGAGTCATACCATGTGGCCAAAGATGAAGAGGCTATAACTGCCCAGACAACACATCTCATGAGTAGCTACCAACCATCTTTCAGTGGTGGCTTGCATATTGCTACGATGCTAAGCAAGTTTCAGGGGAGCTTTTGCACTAAGATAAACTAAGAAGAAAGGCCTGATGATCTACTTTCAAAAATCAGCCAATATGTGGGGACCATGGTCTTGGGGAACATCTAGCTCAATTGGCATAATATAAACAAAGTGTTCTACATTCTACCTTGGTGAGTAGCATCTGGGGTCTTAAAAGACTGTGAGCGGCCATCTAAGATACTCCACTGGTCTCATGCTTTTGGGAGCAAGGGAGAATGAAGAAAACAAGATACAAGGGAAAGATTAGTCCAAAGGACTAATGAACCATAACTACCACCGCCTCCACCAGACTGAGTCCAGTACAACTAGATTGTGCCCGGCTACAAACACTGACTGCTCTGACAGGGATCACAACAGAGGGTCCCGGACAGAGCTGGAGAAAGACGTAGAACAAAATTCTAACTCACATATAAAGACTAGACTTACTGGCCTGACAGACTAGAGAAACTCTGAGAGTATGGCCCCCAGACACCCTTATAGCTCAGTAATGAAGTCACTCCTGAGGTTCACCTTTCAGCCAAAGATTAGATAATAATACAAAATGAGACTAAAGGGGCACAACAGCCCAGGGACAAGGACAAGAAGGCAGGAGGGGACAGGAAAGCTGAGAATAGGGATCCCAAGGTTGAGAAGGGAGAGTGTTGACATGTCATGGGGTTGTTAACCAATGTCATAAAACAATATGTATACTAACTGTTTAATGAGAAACTAGCTTGTTCTGTAAACTTTCATCTAAAGTATTATAAAAAAAAAAGAAAAAAAAATCAGCCAATAAACCTAACAAATCACAATGGTCCAATCCACAACTGATTATAGGAACATACCAGGACCGGGCAGCATTTCATTCCATTGTGCACCGGGTCTCCATGAGGCAGGGGCTGACTGGAAGGCAGCTAACAACAACAAGGAACATAACAGTAGCTTAGCGTTAGGAAATTTACAAAGGTAAGGTCCAGAATGCCCAACTCAAAGCAGCTAAAGAAGTCTGCCAGAGGAAGTCCTTTTATCCTATAGTCAGCACTCCAAAAGTTAACACAGTCCATTGTCAAATAGCTGCATCGGAAGAAATCATAGAACCTTGCTGCATCCTTTTTGATCAAAGCAAATCCCTGCTTCACAGGAATGAAAACACTTGTGGAAAGTGGAAGATACTACTTTTTTTCTGAGCTCCTCTTTTTGACCAGTTCTGATAATCCACTTTGGAATATGAAGCAAACCCCTAGCACCTTCTTCTGTGGTTCAGTCATTAGTACCTAGAAGAAAAGACTCATAAAAGAAGTCTCTGGAGGATCACAGATTTAATAGGGTTTCAAGGCAGTCCCAAATGCTAGATGTTGAGTAATCAAAGCTTAGAGGACATAATCATGGGCTAATACTTGTGATTCAACTAAATCAAGATTTCTCAACCTCAGCACTGTTGACACTTTGATAATTCTCTGTTGTAGGGGGTTGTCCTGCGCATTGTAGGATGTTTAGCAGGATCCCTGTCCTCTGCCCTCTAGATTCCAGTAGCACCTCCAAGTTGTGACAATCAAAAATGTCTCTGGACATTATCAAATGTCCCCTGGGGTGACAAAATTGTCCCCAATTGAGAACCACCAAACCAAATGGGTACAGTAATCCAGGGATAGAAAAAGTCTCAGTTTGCAAAATAACAAATAGATTTCTTGATAGGTTTTAATTATTCAATTAATACAAGAATGGAGTCTTCTTTTTAAAAAGTTAGAACATTACAGATAAAACTAACATTTCTTTTGACCATCCACCTCCAGGATCTCCTGCCACCTTCCATAGAGTAATCACTACATTCAATTTGATTACACATACGTACACGTATACACACATACATACGCACCAGAGGCAATATATTTTTTGAACCAGACAGTGATTAATATATGATGCTATTTCACCCTGGAATACTGTTCCTGCTCTTGAAATTACAATACCGGCAGCACCAGTTGCTGTCAAGTCAACTCTGATTCATGAAGACCCCATGTGTGTCAGAGTAGAACTATACTTCATAGGGTTTTTAGTGGCTGATTTTTTGGAAATAGATCATCAGGTCTCTCTTCTGAGGCATCTCTGGATGGACTCAAACCTCCAACCTTTTAGTTAGCAGCCGAGCGCATTAACTGTTTGCACCACCCAGGGACTCTTGATTACCCAGTGGCAGGTAAAACATGATTAAAGTGTGTCAGGGACGAGAAACATCATTACTCAGATAGCAGGATGGTGATTGCTGTGAATGGTTGTGAGCCAGCCCTCTGCGCAGGGGAAGAAAGGAAAGAAGACTCCATAGCCCCTCATGGCCAATTTCAGTGCAGCAGTTTCTGTTACTTGGCCTCCTCCTCCAAAGTGGACCAGACCCAAGACTCTGTTCCTCTTCCTTTGCCTAGGGAGATGGGAAGGAGGCAGCAATCTCATTATTCAGTTGGCACCTACTTTCTGACACAGGTTGGGGTGGTGAACACATAAAAGTTTTTAACAAGTTAATCAGAAATCAAATAATCTACATCCCGGATAATGGAGTATTAACCATAATTTTGTTCTAACCATAATATTGGGTTATATATAGATTATCTTCCTCCTTCACTTAGCTCTCTCCTCATATCTCCCCCTGATACCCTCCCCACCCCACTTCTGCCCCCAGATGCTTGAAACAATTTGTATTAATGTAGAATTAATTCTAAATGTTAGACATTTACTTTTCATTTGTTTGTTGATGTTCTTAAAAACCCATTGCTGCTGAGTCAATTCCGACTCATAGCAACCCTATAGGACAGAATCAAATTGCCCCACAGGGTTTCCAAGAAGAGGTTGGTGGATTCAGACTGCCAACCCTTTGGTTAGCAGCCAAGCTCTTAACCACTGCGCCACCAGGGCTCCAACTGATGTTCTTAGTAGTCCAGTATTTCAAGGGACTAAGAATAATATCTTAGTTCTTTGTATTTGCAAGGGCATACTCTACTCATGGGATAATGTATAATGTATACTAAAAAAATTACTTGAATTCCCCTCATATGAAATACGAAATTCATGTAAAATCTTTATACACATTTTAAGTTAAGAGGGCGTGTCTCTTTTACAGATTGCCTGTAGGAATAGTTGTTTTGTAGGAATCAAGGTAAAGGGTCAAGTCCTACCTTCGTGCCAATGCCAACGTGGAGGTTCAATTGCTGACACAAACCATGGGCCAGATAACAAGAGTTCAGCAGAGGATGAATACAGGATTAAAAGTTCCTGTTAGGGGTTTCAGATCTTCGGCTGGGCACTGAATTTGTGAACAGGTCAGAGAACGAGGCTATGTAGATCTTACGGAGCAGAGAGAGAGAGACATCAGTTGGTATTCGTAGCACCCATCCTAAGAAGAATGAAGAAGACTTAGAAGAAGTTCATCACAGTTTTATTTAAAGAAACAAACTTGTACATAACCAGTGTCAGATAATAGGAAAAATGTTAAGTAAAAATCATAATAATGAATCAAAAGAATGTAATGTACCCATCACATAACACAAAAGTATTATAATATGGGAAAATGTTCATAAACTGTAAAGCGAAAAAATACAGAAAATTACTATGCTAACTGATGTCAGCTTTGAAAAAGTACTGGTAAAAAACACATCGTATGTAAGTAGGCAAAAGTACTAACTCTTTTTGTTACAAATTATGATTATCTTCTTCTTTATACATATATATAATTTCTAAATATCCTAAAATTATCATGTATTATTTTACAGTATATGATAATGATATACTATTTTAAACATATCATTATATTTAAAGGCTATACTATGCCATCTTATCCACCAATTTATTAAATCTTCTTATAGTCAATGGTACATTAAATTGGTGTTTTCAGTAAATGATTTTTTAAAATAGTTAATATATTTAAGTTTAGGTTAAAAAAAATCCACAATATTTTATCTGTAACATGTGCTCAGCATTCAGTCTTGTTGATAATAATTAAAAACTAGTCTACTATTAAATGATTTTTTGAATTAATATAAGCAAAAAAATATGCCTATATCAGTGTTATGAATTGAATTGTGTCCTCTAAAAATGTGTGTCAACTTGGCTAGGCCATGATTCCCAGTATTGAGTCACCATCCACCATTTTGTCATCTGATGTGATTTTCCTATGTGTTGTAAATCCTACCTCTATGACGTTAATGAGGCAGGATTAGAGGCAGTTATGTTAATGAGGCAGAACTCAATCTACAAGATTAGGTTGTATTTTAAATCAATCTCTTTTGAGATATAAAAGAGAGAAGCCAGCAGAGAGACAGGGGGTTGCCTGCCACCAAGAATGAAGAACCAGGAGGGGAGCAAGTTATTTGGACCTGGGGTCCCTGCACTGAGAAGCTCCTCGACCAGGGTAAGATTGATGACAAGGACCTTCTCCCAGAGCTGATAGAGAAAGAAAGCCTTCCCCTGGAGCTAGCACCCTGAATTCGGACTTTTAGCCTCCTAGATTGTGAAAGAATAAACTTCTTTTTGTTAAAGCCACCCACTTGTGGTATTTCTGTTATAGCAACGCTAGATAACTAAGACAATCGGTGATGAATATAATGTCTAGTTTTGTTAATTTTGTCTACTACCTTTCCCCATCTTTGCTTCTCCTCTTCATTCTAAAATAATAATAAAAAAAAATTTAAACTTTCTTTATTATTGAATGTTTAAACTAACTGATTTTTTTTTTTTTTGGTGTTTGTTAACTGAAGTAATATGGAAAATTCTTCTACAATTATGGAGACTAACAATGAAATAGGACCTAAAATCAGACGTTAGGAGATTGAGAGTTTTAAGGCTCTTCCCGTGGAAGGAGTTTCCATCTAACTGTTGCTTCAATTTCATCATCAAAATTTCCAAGCTCCTGCTGTTTAGAGAGTTCTAAGAACACCAAAATAAAAGAAAATTAGGAAACAAAAATGTCAAGATGATGTTCTTCTTTCCTAAAGATGGATGTACACAAAAAAAAAATGCACACAAAGGTGACTTGGATAACGTTCACTTGTTTAAAGAAAAACCCACCTGTTCCAAGGTAGCCTGAGAGAGGCTGTATTCTTCCAAGTTGAAGGTCTGTTTCACTGCGTTTAAAAGGAGTGTCATTAAAGGCTTACATATTTTTCACCAAAGGTGTTTTAAAAGTCATGCAATATACCAACTTCAAATCCATTAGATACTTTAAAATACAGGCTAAGTAATTTTCTTGAAGGATAAGCTAAAGAAGAGTACTGACACAGCTCATCAAAAGAGCAATGTATAAATGTATTAAATTATTAATAAACTTTAAAGTGTTCCTCGGGTCTTATTTCAGTATCATGCTTTCAGTAATTTACATATGTATGTTTTAAGACTCCAAATCAACTGTTGGTCTTTGAAGGAATATGACATTCATTAACGAATATTGCTTTATTCATATTTATATACCTACAGACAAGACCACTTTGTTGACCCCTTTTTAACGAATCCCACATTTCTGTATGCCGAGGGCATTCTCATAAATATACAGTCTGAGCTCTAGCCACTGTCTCTGGAATTGGTTCAGACTCTCCTACTGACTCGTTACATCTCACCCACAGGCATTTTCCTTATCTGACCTTCATTTGGGCTCCCAGTCATCGGCTCCATATTCTTGCTCCTGGTACCCCTGGCTTTGATAAATACGGTGACACTAAAAGCTTAACTTGGTATTCTTTGGGACTACCTTCTGATAATTATCCTCTGATACCATGCACTGAGACCATGGTAAGAAACAGCTCCGGTACCTTGGCTTCAATTTTTAAGGACAGAGTGACCTGACTTGCTCAATCTGGGCTTCCTTATTAGCAGACAAAGAATCAGGCTGAGTTAACCTAAGTCTAGGGTCATCACTCCATTCCCTTCAAAAATTTTAAGTCTATCCAGTGAAAGTTTTCCAGGTTTTGATTCATTATATAACTTTTCTACTTGAGATCATATAGTATGTATTCTATATGAAAATATGCTACCAATATATAACCAAAAAACCATCGCCATCAAGTCGATTTCATCTCATAGAGACCCTATAGGACACAGCAGAACTGCCCCATTGGGTTTCCAAGGCTGTAATCTTTACGGAAGCAGATTGCCACATCTTTCTCCCGTAGATCGACTGGTGAGTTTGAACCACTGGTTTGTGGCCAAGCACTTTTAACCACTGCACCACCAGGGCTCCTTACCTATATACAGTCTTATTTAAGTATGTCCAAACTTACCTGCCTCTAATTTGAAAAAGGCCTGAGATAGAGGGTGAACATCATCCAAAGGCAACTTATATGCCATCAATGAGGAACACCTCAGAGGAGAAAACAGTGAAATTTATCACTGCATTTCAGTATTACAATACTGGGGAGGAATTAATAGTGAAACTAAATAATTTTCAAAGTTTCCTTTAAATAAAAATGTAAATACTTGGATTTGATAAAGCATGAATCTGAGTCAAAGAACTTATTGTCAGTCATAAAAAAAAATTTCGTAACTACAAAATTCTGCTTGCCCCAATTTAATGTTGAAGATAAATTCTGAAAATAGCTCTGATAAAGAATCTTTCATATTCAGCCTGTGCTATCTTTCTTACTGCGATTACTCTCAAAAGCTAATCCTTCAACATGCCCCCTGGAACCTTTGCATCAATTGTTCCCCTCTGTCTTTAATTTTCAATGACTAAAAACCTGTTTAACCCTCTCCTATTAAAAAAAAAAAAAAATCTTCTTTGACCTCTAATTTCTCCCCTCAAATAAGTTCATCCCTGATCTCCATGTTCACAACCCAATGGACAGTCTGTAGTCCTTCTTTTCAGACTCCTCAAAAGTGTTAAACTATAAACTTCTCCTTCTTAAAGCACTCTCTCTCTTGATTTATGAGACAACCATATTTTTGGAATTTTCCGTTTAACTTTCTATACTTGCACTGTTTAAAGTAGACCAAATAAAAAAACTTCGGTGGTTTAGTTTGTCTGTACTTTGTGCCTCATTTTTAAGTTATTCCACCATTTACACACACAGACACACACACACACACACACCATCCACGTTTTCTGAGGTCTGAGAAAGCCACTGAAGGTAACTTTTCAATAGCTTTTTTCTATACATTTCTAGCGACCCCTAAACAACTTGCTTTACAATGAACAAGCTAGCTTAGATTGTATCTTCCTTATTATGGGATCAAACTGTCCAGACTAGCCTAATACTAAATGATATTATGACTGAAAAACCTTAACACTTGTCAGGCAAGCAAAAAACGTCTGTTACCTTTCCTGCCAAGCAGCCTGTGGAAAAGCTTCAGAATCTCCATGTGGAGGGGCTCGACTTGAGTGGGTTCTTTCATTTTTATTTCTAGTAAATAATCTTTACCAAACTTGCTTTTCAGATGCTGAATGGAACCAATACACCTGAGTCCAGGGAAAAGAAAGAAGATTTGAAAGATAAAATACTTGCCTCTTGATTTCTCCCCCGATTTCAAAAATAGGAGAAAAATTTTTAATTATAGATCAAGGAGCTGACGAGTATCAGCTGTTTACAATGAACTAGCATTCTCTCTACAAGAATAATCCTTCCCTGTGAGGGGACACGTGGTGGTCAAGCATGGGCTCTGGACAGGCACCCACCTTAGCTTGCCTGACACCATGATGGCCACGCAGTCGCACACGGCCTCGGCCTCGGCCATGTAGTGTGTGGTCAGGAGGGCTCCTCGTTTTTGACAATGGTCTGAATTGCCTGCCTAAAAATAAAACAAAGGACTGTTTGCATTTAGAATAAGTAAATTGGGAAAATAAATGAACAGACATAAATATGAAATCTAAACAGAAAACTTTTATAATAGGTTATAAGAAAAGGTCTTTGCTATATAGGAAGAGGAAAACATGTACTTCATTACATAATTATATTATCATCTTAATTGTGCTTTGTAGAGGAAAAAAAAGCAGAGGATTAGGAAATAGGGAGTGAAATGTTTTCTGAAAAAAAACAAAAACAAATAAAAAGAAAAAAAAAAACCTTGATTCTAATTCATAGTGACCCTAAAGGACAGAGCAGAGCTGCCCCATAGGGTTTCCAAGGAGCGGGTGGTGGATTCAAACTGCCGATCTTTTGGTTAGCAGCTGAGCTCTTAACCACTGCACCACCAGGGCAAAAGTTGGAGTAAAATAGAAAAACACCGCCTTCTAGAATTTTCAATGACAGGAAAATAAAACAGAAGAAGGAGAAAGAGGCAGGCAGGGGAGGAGGCGGAGAGAAAAAGCCCAACCAAATACATTCGAGAGTTTATTGATTCTTAAAATGTCCATTCTTCCTTCCTTGTTGACTTTTGTTTGCTATGTTGGCTTTCACTGAATTAAAAAATAAAGGATGCGAACCTCAGAGGTCACTGCAGCAAAACTTTAAAAAAAAATCACTCTAGACTCCTACTATTTGGCTCTGACACTTAGGACTCTCCTCACCACATCTGCTGCTGCCCTTGAGGGTCCATCCCCGTGGACGGCTCGTCCAGAAGTACCACCTCCGGGACCCCCAGGATGCTCAGCACGAAGCACAGCTGGAACGAGAGGAGCAGTATCTGGCCCATCTGTGCAGGGCACGGAGGGGCCCTGAGCCCCGCCCTGCTCGTACCTTCCTCTTTATCCCCTCTGACAAGGTCTTCATGGGCACCTTCAGCTGGTCCTGCAGCTTGAACGCATCCACCAATCTGACCAAAAAATTGTAGTGATTACACGTAAGATACATGGCAAATGTACCTATCTAAAACAGCAGTATGGAGACCCTTAGTGCTAAAGATCAATAAATCTTCTCAAATACTAAATCCTATGATTTGGTTCTTATTCAGATTTTCAATTAATCTATTTGCTTGAAAACTGAAAGACATTGTTTACGATCTCCTTTCCATATTTAATGAGGGAATTCTAGATTACTCCCTTCCTCCAGCTGCAATGTATTAGCGAGACTTCTCTGTACCGTGAAATGCTGAGAGCAGCACCCTCTGTGCCTAGTCCTTTCACCGTGGCATACAACTCCAGCGTTCTCTCGTCATAAGGGTGGGCCACAGTGAGTTCTCCTGAGGACAGCAGCCCAGGAACCGGAGGGTGTTGTCTTCTTGTGGGTTTGCTGATGCTCTGCTGCCCTGTAAAACCACCTATATAAAACATTCAAACGTCAGGCCCACAGGTGGCTTTTGCGCCAATCCCCCTTCTACTAACAGAGATGAAAGTCGCCATTCAGATGCAACATTCTTGGAGCATGCAAGAGATATTTTATAAATTCCTTAACCTATTTATTCATTTTAAAAATCATTTGATTTACAAATAGGAATCATATAAGGATACCATCAATATTTAATTTTCTCCTGGCAATGAGCATGTAATTCCTTCATATGTCACATACCACTCCTGCAGTTGGCTTTGTGTCCCCAGTTATCACTTTAATAGAAGTACTTTTACGAGCTCCGTTGTGTCCCAGCAACCCCAAAACTTCACCTGGAAGAAAGAGTCCCTATAAATATGTGCAAGTTAAAGGCTGACTAACCTAAATTCACTTGATTCAATAACATTTTGAAACTAAAATGCCCAGTCTGATTGGTTCTGGGTTATAATGCGTTCATCACTTCTTATATTACAAATGTTAATGGAAAGCTTTTGGGTTTAAAGTAGAATAAATTGGTCTTCCTCATCCAAGATCGGATTTCCTCCCATTTGAAATGAGACATGATTTTGAAGTAGAAAAGACTTCTCTGCTGACATCAAATACTTTCATAATTACATGCTAACCAAGGCACATGAACAGTCTCCAAGAATAGAAAAAATATCCCCTTTATAGTCCTAAGCCTAGAGAATAAGGCACATCCTAACAAAAGCAATATTTATCCAAATCTTTTTTAACACAGAAGGAAACATTTCTAATGGCTATTTTCTTTTTTCTTGCTGAAAAGCACCTTTTCTTCTTCTCTTTATATTCTTTATGTAAACAGCTTGCCATTATGACTGGGTTCTGGAAAATACGTGTTATGGATTGAATTATGTCCCCCAAAAATACACTTTGTAAATGCTAACTTCTATGCATGTGGTTATAATCCCATCTGGGAACAGGTTTTCTTTGTTATGTTAATGAGGCACGATTTGTGTAGGTTGTGTCTTGAGTCAGTCTCTTTTGAGATATAAAAGATATTAAACAAACAAGCCAGCAGAGGAGAGATGGGGTAAGATAGATGCCAAAACAAATGGAGATCTCCAAGGAACCAGGAAGCAGAAGCTGAAGAGACAAGGACCTTCTTCCAGAGCTAACAGAGAGAAAAAGCTTTCCCCTAGAACAGAGCTCTGAATTCAGACTTCTTGTCTCCCAAACAGTGAGAAAACGAATTTCTGTTTGTTAAAGCCATCCACTTGTGCTATTTCTGTTATAGCATCACTAGATAACTAAGGGAGCCCTGGTGGCATAGCAGTTAAGAGCTCAGCTGCTAACCAAAAGGTTGGCAGTTTGAATCCACCAGCAGCTCTTGGAAACCCTATGGGGCAGTTCTACTCTGTTGTTTAGCGAAGCGACTCAATGGCAACTGGTTTGGTTTAGATAATTAAGACAACATGACAAAGCATAATTTTCCCGTTAAATTTCAGATAGTCTATGCACTCATGTTTTACCTTCCATTTCCTAGGCCATGAACCTAACCAGATTTTGTACCAGTGGTAATTTAGCCTCTTTTTTCAAATAAAGCGTCCAAACATATATTTATGAGTGAAGACTACTTTATCGACTACTTACAAAATTGATTCTAAATCAAATATATGCATTTTCCATTATGCAGAGCAATTATCATTGTCCTTTTTATTAATTTCATTGCTAATTCATTTTATTAGTTATCATACAGTATAAACTCATGTGCTTTTTCATATGCATTCAAAGTTATTAATATTACAATTCCAATAAATTGCAAGATGAAATTGCAACTTTTGCTAAAGATGTAGAATTTCATTAAAGTTGATAAAAATTTTGGAGAACTCAAATTACACTGACAAAAGAGGATGTGGCAGATAATAATCCACAAAAAATTAAAGGAGAAAATTAATAAGGATGGTGATGAGATAGATACTTTGAAAGAGAATGATTTGAATATGGCCAACAAATAGAATGATTATAAAAACATAAGAAAATTTAAAAAATAAAAACTAACAAACCATCCACACCACAGGTCTGGCTAGCTAACCACTTCAGTGTTTCATTAAGTGTCCAATTATGTGTTTTCACCTCATCCAAGTTTGGAGAAGTGAGTGCATTTGCTGTTTGCACTCTTTCAGTGTGAACATCTTCATCCTCTTCTGGCTCCTCTGAATTTGGATGAGCTTCCCTACTTCTTGGAGAGATTCTACAGGTAAAATAACAAAAAAATCTAGAGTACAACAGCTATCTGGAAAATGTGAAGTCTCTATTGTTATCCTTTGCTTTAAAAGAATGTAAAATGACTAGCTTATTACCATTTCCTTGGTTATCCAAATTTTTTCCAAACCTTCAAGACTCCCCTTGACGATAATAACTGCTCTAATGGCCAAGTCCCTTGAAATTCTCTTTAACTATTTTTTTCTCTCTAAAGCCTTTTATACAATCTGTCCACTAGCTGTGTTGCTTCTTTCTTTTAAATTCTCTCAAATATAGTCTTATCTCTCTTTTTATTTTGCAGCCATCCAGATCACCATCACTTTATATCATAAAAGACCACCCTGGTTGGATTCTCTTGCCTTTTTCAAAATATTCTACACACTTGTACTGAACATCAGTTTGCTATTGTCTCTTTTACTCCAGGACACATAATGGACTTAAGCAGGAGTAAAACAAGTTTTGCTGCTTAACCACTGCTTGTAGAGATGCTCAGAAGTAAAACTCAACTTGTCTAAAATCAGAAAGATCCATGATATACTTGTATTCAATCTAATCCTGTTTATTTTTTTCCAAATACACTGTCCAAACTCCCTAGCAAACAGTTAGTAAATCTCTATTAATAAATTGCTGTTAAATATACTATCATAAATATTAAATATGTAAATTATATTCAGAAGTTAATTAATTTTCTCCCAACCTGAAAACTGAATCTTTCCTCATTGTTTCACTTCGACAGTTCATTTCCAGACATCTTATAATAAAAAGGAAAACGAAACTCTGAAGGTATGGCTAAAGGGAAAGAAAGAGAATTGGCATCACCATGGCATTCAAATTCAACGGGCACTATTTGCCTTTTGTCACAGATTTGATCACTTTCTTATAAATTTGACAAAATTCTTTTCACATGGAGGAGCTAATCCAAACTAACTCTACCACTAAATACAACTAAAAATCCTAGCTTAACTAAAAAAAAAAAAAAAAAAAACCACCTTTTTAAAGCATAGAAGAGCTGATAAAATAGTAAGGAATTTTAAAGCCAAATCTTAGTGAACATAGGAACTAGGCTGAGCACCGCAGAAGCTCTTGTCCCAGAAACATTCTCCAAACCCTGAAACCATCAAACTTCAGTTAGTTTTCATGGCCTGTTCAGGAGCAGAAGACAGAAGACAGAAATGTAGAGTCTTCTCCAAGAGAGGAGTCAAATAGATGACCCTTTCTCTAATAAAAGCATGGACCTCAGAGAGCACATCCTTAGTGAAAGGGTGAAAAGAGCACCCAGGAGACTGCTCAGACATTTGCCTTGGGTGCTGACCATGGGGAGTGAGGGTAGAAATACAAGAGAGTCCTTGAACAGATAGATTTTCAGCCCAAATTCACATCACCTGGATAATCCAAAAAACCTCAAGTCAAGAATGTGGTTTAAAGTAGTAGCAGACTGTAGTGCCCTAGGAACTTGGCAGAAGCAAATAAAATGGAAAGACTATCCCAGAAACAGACCCTGCACATATGGGCATTTGATATATGAACAGAGGTGGCTCTGAGTAACAATAGGGAAGGCACAGATTTTTCAGTAAATAGTACTGGGACAATTGGGTATCCTTAAAGATAGAAATGAACCAGAACCCTTACCTCACAACACAGGAAAAAAAATCAGTTTTAGATAATTGAAGACACAAATGTGAAAGGAAGAATATTTTATGTTTAGAAGATAATATAAAAGAATATCTTCATGACCACAGGGAAGGGAAAGATTTCTTAAACATTAAAAAATACTAAAAAATTATTAATCACATTAATAGATTTTAACAAGAAAAATAACCAGTCAAACTTTAATAGATGCTCAGTGCCTTTTGAGAAATTTTAATTTTCATTCTTGTTAAAAACTAAAAGCAAAAAAAAAAAGACTAAAATCTTCTCACTAAAAATTGAGAATAAGATAAATTGTTGTTATTATAAATAACCAGTAAATATAATAGTTAATGGTAAAGCACTAAAAATAGTTTCAGTAAAATCAGAAGCAATATAAGGATGTCTGCTAGAAACAGTATTAGTCAATTTTTTTTAAAGAGTCAAGCCAATGTCATGGGGCAAGAATATATAATACAATATATATTTTCAAAATAAAAATATGATTATTTGAAAACAATATGTTTGTCTAACAAGAAATGTAAGATAAGCATCTGAAAAGGGATTAGAAATAATAAGAAAAGTTAGTAAGTTAAACAAATATAAGATAATTATACAAAAATCCTATATTCCATCAAAAACTAGTTAGAATATACAGTGAGAATAAAGATCTTTTTATACTGAAAATAAATAAGCAAATATACACAATAAAATAAACTCAACCAGAAATTTTTTGAAAAATTGAAGTATATAAAATAAGTCTTACGTAAAAGCAGAAAATATTTAAAAATTAATATTTTAAAGCCACAAATTCTGCTCTAATAAATTAGACGTGCAAAACAATGTCCAAAAAGGAAAAAAATCCACATACTGTTTTCTAGAACTTGACTACTTAATTCTAACTTTCATCAGGAAAAAAAAAATGTGAAAATAGAAAATTTTTAAAAAGTGGGAATGATGAAGGGGTACTTGTCATTTCATATTAAGTGTACAAAGCTAAAGTAGTTAAAACAATGCAGTGCTGGCACTGATATAAACAAATGGATCAACAGGGTAAAAAGAGAATACCAAGGGAATCAAATTCATCTATACAAGCAAAATTAATGCTTATAAAGATGCTGTTTCATCTCAGAAAGGATAAAATGAAGTATTCAGAAATGGCATTAGTATAACTGAATGCCCCTTTTTGGAAAATTTAAAATTAAAAGGGTAGTCTCTATTTCATCTCAAACCGTGCAAAATATCCAGAGGGTTAGGCATTTAAACATAGAAAAAGAACAAAAAATTATGAAAGAAGAAAGGGTGATCCACACTCAGGAAAAAAACAGTCAACAGAAATTGTCTCTGAATGCCCCCAAATGCTGGATTTAGCAGAAAAAGACTTAAACTAGTCATTGTAATATGTTTCTTGATCTAAAGGAAGCCATATTAAAAAAAATTAAAGGAAATTGTGGCTCATCAAATAGGAATCTTCCATAGGGATATAGAAATTATAAAAAAGAATAAAGTGGAAATTATGGAGTTGAAGAATACAATAACAAATGAAAAATTCATTAGAATAGCACAACAATAGATTTGAGACTGCAGAAGAAAGAATCCATTAATTTAAAGGTAAATCAATAGAAGTTATCTAATCTGAAGAACAGAGAGTGAAAAAAATGAAATAAAAATGAACAGAGAGTCTCAAATAACTGCTGGACATCAAGCATGCTAACATACATCTAATGAGTCACAGAAGGAACAAAAAGAAAGAAAGGGCAGAAAAATATTTGAAGAAATATAATGGCTGAAAACTTATAAAATTTGATGGAAAAAATTAATTTATACATAAAAGCAACTCAACAAACCTCAAGTAGGGTAACTACCTAGGACATAACAGACGTACTGCTGAAAGACAAAGGAAAAGACAGAATCTTGAAAGCAGCAAGAGAAAAATGACCCATCACTTAGACAGATCATCAATACAATTCATAGCTTACTTCTTATCATAAACAATGGGCAGAAGGAAGTGGAAGGACATATTCAAAAGGCTAAACGAAAAGAAAAAACAAAATAAAAACAAACAACCACTCAGAAAAGCTAGCCTCCAAAATTCAAGGTGAATAAAGGTGAAATAAAGACATTCTCAGATTTTATTTGCCAAGATTGCCTTAAAGTGGCCATCTTTATACTGAAAGAGAGAAAGGGACAGACAAAATAAATAAATAAATCAGGTATAAAATTTGTATCTGGAAAATAAGTGTAGTTGTCTTTACAACCACACGTAACTGACTAAAAGCAAATAGATAAGGAGCCCTGGAGCACTGTGTGGGAGCATTATGTGGGAGGAAGTGCTGCAAGCCACTTCTAGGCCTGGCCGGCAAAATATCCCCTACAATGTTCTAGCCCTCTCTTCCTCTGCAGAAGCAACCTTGGAAATCAAGAGTTCCATGTGGCATAGCTACAAAATGGAGGAGGGCCACGCAACCTACACTGGACTTTATGTGAGTGAAAGATAAATCTTTATCGTCTTGTGTCTTACAGGTTCCAATTTTTTGTTATGTTAGCCACAGTTGCATATGCTGATCAGTATATGCCCCATTAGAACAATTTTATGCCTTTAGTATCATTAATAAAAGTAGCCCTGGTGGCGCAGCGGTTAAGCACTTGGCTGCTAACCAAAAGGTTGATGGTTTGAACCCACCAGCCACTCGGTGGGAAAAAGATTTATAGCCTTGGAAACCCTATGGGGCAGTTCTACTCTGTCCTATAGGGTCACTATGAGTTGGAATTTTACTTAATGGCAATCGGATTTTCTTTTTTTAGTATCATTAATGATCAATTAAAAATGATTGTATGTGAGGAGACTCCAGCAAGATGGCGGTCTAGGCAGAAGCACCACGCCGTCCCTCCACAACAAAGATCCGAAAAACTAAGCCAAACAGAGAATCAACAA